TTCATGAATTTAATGTAAATGGTGAAAATTGCAGTGCTTGTTATATATACTCTACACAATTCTACTAATACATAATCTAGACCAGCAAAAAATATTCTCAAAATAAGATTGGAAAGCCTTCAAATACAGATCTTCAATTGGGAATACTTTCCTAAAAATCATCTCTTGTTCATTACATACAGTAAACCACACTTGAACTCACTGATAATAGGGTCTAATTAATTAAAGAACTGTAATTTTGAAAAGATGTCTCAGCAATAGTCTAAATAATAGACGCAATGGATAAGCGTTGGATCGTTAAAAAGATATCACGAACCCGGACCAACGCTTATTCATTGTATCTGCTTTATTTATAACTTTAAACTATGTGATCGAAAACTCTTACAACAATATATTATCTTCCCCAAAATTTCTACACTGCAGCTGATCATACGTAGTGCCAGACTAAAAATACATAACCACTACTGTATATTGTGGGAAATAAACTGAGTATGAAAACTATTAAAATCCTTTTTAGTTGGTCCTGGTTTGATTAGTAATTTTCAAGGAATTGTGGTGCTATAATTTTAAAGATCTTTGAATCATGTCAAGAAAGAAAGTATTATGATCAGACAATAATAAGAACGGTTGCAATTATAAAAGATTGCAATGCAACCAGTACGTATGGCAAGCCGATTTTATATTTATTCACTTTCAAGATATTTTATTAAGTTAAATCAGATATCTTTATAATTAAATAAGATATCTTATAAATGAATTGAGATATCTTGATAATTAAATAAGATATCTTATTAAGCTGGTTATAAAGATATCTTATTTAACATATAAGATATCTTATTTAGTTAATAAGATATCTTATTTAGTTAATAAGATATCTTATTTAGTTTAAAAGATATCTTATTAAGTTTATAAGATATCTTATAAACTATATAAGATATCTTTTATATAGTTTCTTATAAAGATATCTTATAAACTTAATAAGATATCTTTTAAACTAAATAAGATATCTTATTAACTAAATAAGATATCTTCCTTTCTTTTTAAGAATTGAAATAAAGTATCCCTTTATGTTGGAAAAAAGATTGACCAATCATAAAATCAATAGCAATTCAGATCGAGATTGCTAATTTGTATCTGTATCTGTTTTATAGATTTTGCCAGTGTAGGCACACCTCCAATGGAGTAGAATAAAAAATTAAGTACCCTTCACCACTCACTAGACAATAATATATCAATAAAAATGACTTCTGTTTCGCCACCGTTATGTAAAATTAATATTTAATTTCACAAAAAAAAAGAGAAAATTATCTTTCATTTTAATTCGCATGCACCTATATAATAACCAAAATTTCTAATTGGTTAACAACTGTCTATTTGATTTGATTACAACTGATGATACCTGTGGATATTCCAACCCTGATCATCCGCATCATATATATTTCATTTCGTTTGAAATTGGGGTTTCCCGTTTGGTATTTGTATTAATTATATATAGATGGGAACTAGTGTAACTGCAAGAATATGTACTATTTGTAAAGTTTAATGTTGACATACAAATTACTAAAAAAGAAGGGGGGGGGGGGGGGGGGGGTATGTGCATTTCCACGGAAGTTGTAAATGATCATTTCACGATAAACGAAAGAAAACAAATTCCTTGCTCCCTATCAATATGAATAAAATTTGTTAAATGTGCTTCAAGCAGGAAAAATTGCAATGATATGAAAATAACAGTTTACTACCAGCAAAGAAAATCCCAATAAGAAAACAGGGACATTTCTTTTGTCCTTTTTTCTAGGTAATCCTGCTTTTAATATAAAAAAGAGTTAATTATAATTGTTTATTGTTTTGAAGATTCTTATTTAATATATGAAATATATATAAGATATCTTATTTAGTTTATCAGATATCTTATTTAATATATAAGATATCTTATTTGATATATTAGATATCTTATTTGTTAAATAAGATATCTTATTTAATAATTAAGATATCTTATTAAATAATTAAGATATCTTATCTAATAAATGAGATATCTTATTTAATATATAAGATATCTTATTTAAAAAATTTAGATATCTTATTTAATATATAAGATATCTTATTTAATAATTAAGATATCTTATTTGATAATTAAGATATCTTATTTAATAATTAAGATATCTTATTTAATATATAAGATATCTTAATTACTGTAAAAGATATTTTATTTAAAATGAAATATATCTATATAAGTCTCACTTAAAATCAATTGCCAATCTCATTTCAATCTGTTTTCTGTTTATCTAGAAATAAGAATTTACGAAATTATTATCAAGAATTAAAATATTTTATGAAATTCCCGTTGTTTTTTTTGGGTTTTTTTTAGGGGGGGGGGGGAGGATTTCTTTGATAAATTCAAAATGTTCTTCCTTTCAGAATTCGGCAGCCAGAATTAGCAACAGGAATGATACTTAGTCCACAAACTGACATGATACAAAAACTAGGGGATGTTTCAAATTCTTTAAAGCAGTCACTTGTGTTGGCATGGTCATATTTGATCTACATTTATTATAAACATACTTTATATACTTTTAACCATACCTCTCTTTTATTCTATCCAAATATGACAAAAAACGTTTTGTAAGCTTACGGTTATTATATTTTGATGGTGTTTTTCATCACGATCTTTCCTTGATTATCACTTGCATCAAAGTCAACAGATTTTATATACAGTAACTGTATTTTTTTTCAGATAATATGTCATATTTCAAATAGCTTGAAAAAAAGCCAAATCACAAAAATACCGAACTCCGAGGAAAATTCAAAACGGAAAGTCCCTAATCAAATGGCAAAATCAAAAGCTCAAACACATCAAACATAAACTATACAAGAGAGATCAAGAACCATACTTTAGGACGCCAAAAAATCGTTTTTATTCTGATTGCAAAAGTTAATATACACTTTTTGAAACAGCTAACGTGTCTGTAGCGCGATTAATCTCAAGGCCAAGAATTAATTCAGGTCGCAGTTTGTCATTTTTAATACACCCATATGCTTTCTGGATATTAACATCTCGAATATTTATTAATAACCGACTCTTCTCAACTGCCATTTTGAAAGTGCGATCACATGATCTATTTACTGCCTCGTAGTTCAAGAGGGAGCGTTCATTGTTGAATTTATTTACTAATGCTATTTTAAATAAGATATCTGATAAACTAAATAAGATATCTTATTAACAAAATTAGATATCTGATAAATCAATCATATAAGATATCTTGTATAACTAATAAGATATCTTATATAGTTAATAAGATATCTTATAAAGTAAATAAGATATCCTATATACTTTAAAAGATATCTTATAAACTATACAAGATATCTCATAAAGTATTTGTTTAAAAGATATCTTTAAAAAGATATAAGATAGCTTATAAACTATACAAGATATCTTTAAAAGATAATAAGATATCTTATAAAATAAATAAGATATCTTATTAGATTCAAATTAAATAAGATATCTTATAAACATTAGAAGTATCTTATATACTTTATAAGATATCTTGAAATTGAATAAATTATAAAAACGGCTTGCCATAAGTACAAGTCATTATAGTACTGCTGAAATGTTCTGTCTAAAAACAAAGCATTTTGAGAGATTTGTTTAAACAGTGCATTTGCGTTTACATCGTTTCAATGGTATTATTGCAGTTGCTCTTTAACAACCAAAAGTTATATATCAAAACGCCCCTTGACGTTTCTACTTACCAAATTGGAACAGAAAAAAGGCTAATGCAAACTGCACATTTCCAAGCTGTTCTTTTAAAAATACCTTATGAAATGGAGAAAACTAAATTTTAGGAAAAAATAATTGTTAAGGCCAGCATGTCAATAGACCATGAAAGTGGTGGTACTTACTATTTTTCATGAATATGACATTTGCTAATGCAAATTACAACTACATAGTTACCAATTATCATTGACTTGCCATTAGTGCTTTTCATTAAACTGACCTAATCAAAACTTTAACATTTTAACAAAGCAAAAATTTCAAAGTCAATAGACCATGACTGCAGTTTGGAAATATAATCTATATGGAAATGAGATTACAAGTGCTAATACAACTACTAACCAAATATTATACTTACAATTAGTAATTCCATTAACCCAATCACGAACTTTAATAAATTGTTGACACCAGAGACTCTGCCAAAACCCCACAGTATTGCCTATGCAACTTCAACTAGGCAAGATAAAAACCTTCGTTTTTGCAGGAAATCATATTACTAGTACAATGGGCAGTCTAAAAAGGTTCCATATTATTCCTTGATAGTTTCGTAACGGTCTAGTTTAAATAGAGTATTTTAGTCTGGGAAACAGGATTTATTAATTATCCATAGTTGTAAATGACTCTCAGTAACTTAAGAGTACTCATAGATTGGTATCTTGCATCTTTAGTCTTTTTGTTAGTTGTTTTTTGTGCTTTGGGTCGAACTGATGATACAAGATAGCATTTTTCAAGAGAGGCAAAAGATATCAAAAGGACATTCAAACTCGTGTCTAAAATACACTGACAACGCAATGGCAAAAAAAAGAAAAATACCAAAAGACAAACAACTTACTTTTACAGTTTTTTCTCATGTTGTGCTGTTACACCACTGTTCAAGGTGGTTAGGGGAGGGTTGAGAGATCACAAACATGTTTAACCCTACCAAATTCTGTATGTGCTTGTTCCAATTAAGGAGCCTGTTTTTCAGTGGCAGTTGTTGGTTGCTGTATTTAATAAATCAGGTTTTGTTTTTTTAGTTTAAATTGTTTTATATATTGTAATGTTGAGGCCTTTTATAGCTTGCAATACATTATGGGTTTTGCTCATTGTTGAAAGTCGTACAGTGACATATAGTGGTTAACTTCTATGTCATTTGGTCTAAGGTGGGTACTAGTCTCATTGGCAATCGTACCACATCTTCTTATTTTTATATTAAACATTACCTGCAACACTGAAAAACACAAAACAAATGTTTTCATCAACTATATTTAATGCAAATATAAAATATAAACACTTCCATAAATGATTTTTTTAAACCTTCAATCATATAAAAACTTCATGAATATGCAATGTATTAATCTCATTGAAATAATATAAAATAAATACAACCTTGTTCTTATTACTGGCATATAACTTATTAACTGGCTTTTTTAAATGGCTGTTACTTTAAACCAGAAAAAACTTGTTAATCTAAAAAGAGTAAGTCATGCAAAGGTGTTATTTATACAAAAACATGCTCTAAATATGAATTAGTTCTCAAGTTTAAACATTTTAACATAACTACCGTAAGAAAATATCATACATGAGTGTGTTTGCATTATCTAACCTACAAATATTTCTATTTGATATGATAAACAAATACTTTGAGCATTGCACAAGGTTCTCGTTCTCTCTTCCTGGACTACTCATGATGCTGCTGTGTGAAATCTACTCTAAAGAATATATTTGTACCATGAAATATCAGAGTATAATTCAGAAAGATTTCTATATTCAGCATAATGAGTACTTTTAGCTTGCTTTCAGTAGCTGTGAGGTTCATATAAAGTTGTGTGTTTAAAACAAATTTGAAGTTTTTTTATGCACCTTGTGTTATTCCATTGAAGTGCAACAAAGAGTCAACTTCACAGATTGCATGGAATGTTCTTAAACAACAAAGAATGGTGTATAATGAACATATAAATATATAGAAATAATGTAAATGAAAAACTAATTTGTTCCCAAATTTGGAAAATGGAAAAAATATTTCTCAAACAATTCCATAATAGCAGGTGCACAACTTCAATATGTGAGCAATCTTTCAGTGAAGTGTGAAGGACCTGAGTAGAAACATGTAGAAATATTTGATAACACAAAATAGATAAGTCAGTTTAACCCTGAGTCATCTTCATACATTAGTCCCAAGCTCGCAGCCTCATCAGTGGTTGTTATTTTTATATCTTTATGTAATTTTTACAATGACATATGTATATGTATATAAATAAATATATAAGCATTGACACTACTTAAGAACTTGTAGATACTAAAAACAACAGGACCAAAGAACAAAAATCATGTCATTACAATGGAAAATATCAATTATCTTTGTTCTTTGGAGAGAGTATTATAAATTCACAATTATTCTGTGCATTTATTGTTGTAGATAACAAGTAAACAGACACCAACTGGAGAAAAAAATAGTTCTGAATATAAATAATGTCCTCAGAATTTAAACCTAAGTTCTAATTTACTTCAATAAAAGTCCTGTCACATTTTGAAAACGACAAAATTGTTAGGCTGTAGCAAAATGCCCCCCACCGCTGAATTAATGAGGGATATAACTGTGTGTCTTAATGTGTCATTGTGGTATGAATGTAAAAAAATATCATAAAAGTTCTACAACTCCCATAAAAAAGGTCAATCAAAATGACGGTTTTATATGGTCAATAATACATGATGGAAAACAACCCTACCAAGTAAGAGAGCTTTCTGTCAAATGGTGTTAAAAGAGTTGAATTCACAAAGAGCCATTACTAAGGTACAAAACTAACAAAAGTATAAAAAAGTCAAAGTCCAATAACTCCTGTACAAAGGGTTTCATCAAAATTACTGTATAATATGGTCAATTACATATGATGGCAAACAATCCTGCCAAATATGAGAGCTTTCTGTCTAATGGCCTCAGAAGATATAGTTCACAAAATGTGATTGTGGTACAAAGTCAAAGTCCCATCACTCCCATAAAAATGGTCAAATCAATATGATGGTATAATATGGTCAACAACACAACAACACAACAACACGATTGTAAACAATCCTACCAAGTGTGGGATTCCAGAAAAATAGTCTCAGAGAAGTTGCGTTCACAAGGTATTATTGTCACAATATTCCCAAAATGGTAAAAGTTTAATCACTTCCGTTAATCAAAGAGCTGAAAGCTCTGAGGAAAAATGACACCACTGTCTCTAATATTGTGATATTTTTTATGCAAGTCTTGATTTTCACATACCGTAATTAGTTTAACATTCCAACATGTCTCATAAGCATATAATTGATATTCGTATATGTGTGTGTTATGTGAAGATGACAACTGGCTGTTTTTTTAGTACAAATGTATAGGTCAAGACTACCTGAATGATCTACAGTATCCAATGACTACTGGCTGTTTTTTTCTATAAATAAATAGGTCAAGACTACCACAATGATCTACAATATCCAATGACTACTGGCTGTTCTTTTGTACATATAAATAAAGACTACCTGAATGATCTAAAGTATTCTAAGTAATGTGATTTTTGTCTTGCAATTACATTTTTCTAAATCAAGAATATAGACTACTAGTATCCTTTTCAAACCAAATGATTATGAAGAGCCTGTTGTTATCAAGCTCTCATACCCCACATACTCATTAAATAAGTTACTAGTGACCTAGTTATTTCTGTTACTTGAAGCAAATTATATTTCTGTAGATTTAGACAATAGTATAATATTATTTTACTAGTTTTATTTCACCTTGAAGATTAGACAAATAGGGATACTCCTTTGATTTTTTATTTCATGTCAGTCAGGTCGCTTTATATGAAACTTGAAACCACTTCTCTGCCATATTGTTATTTCATAACAACTCTGCCCTTGACCATGTTGACCCATGTAATTGATATTCATTCTTTAACCATATATCATAGTCAGTTAGTTTTTGATTTTGCACTCCCACACCACCTTTCAGGTCAAATGTCTGTCTCCATTTAAGTTAATGACATTGAACAATCATGGTATTAAACACAATTCCAATAGTGATAATGCTGTTCTAGTAGGTCACCATATATTCAACTCGGGTAGCATTCCAGTTATTGAAATTTGTGTCAGATTAGAACAATGATCTAGACCTTTAGGAATGGATCTTACAATTTAATATGGAGCCATAGTATGGGACCCCTACACAGTAACAAAAAAAAAAAACAAGCTTGAAAAGATACAACGTCAAGCGGCAAAATCTATCACCAGAAATTACAAGTCAAGAGAGGATGGACGGGATATGTCTCTAAAATGCTTGCCTAACTGGAACTACAAGATCTCCAGACAAGACGAACAAGGAGTTGAAGCCAGAAGTTAATATTTATGTAAAAAGTAGTTGAGGGGCTGATTCCCGCTATTGAACCATACTGTCATTCTATAATATTATTGCGTAAGTATTTCTGTATTGTCCTTGTTATTGGTCCATGTCTTGGTGTATTGGTCTGAGGCGAAGCCGAAGGCCAATACTGCTGGCCGAGGACCAACAATAAGGCCAATACAGAAATACATGTAATAGTATCTTTATTAATTAACTACAGTGTTACAATATTTTTTTATTTCATTTCACAAGAGATAAACATTTTTACCTTGAAGTGGAACTATCCAAATCTCAGTTTCTTTTTATAAGATGCAATATCTAATAATTTGGTGCCGTTTCCATGCATCTTCAGCCTTTTCTCATCTGATGAATTTTTCTACCCTTTCCAGTCACTATAAAGTGTTACAACTTAAATTTAGACACAACACATAAATAGTAATTGGAAAGGTACTGCCATTGCATGTGTAATGCAAATATATTTAAAAAAAAAATAATGTAAGAGTTGAAATTGATACAACTATCCATAAGCCAATTGACCAAAGAACGAAGATTTGCGCAATTACAGAATGCATATGCCTGGTTCGGGTTTAAAAATAAAAGACCGTTTACAAAACATGATAAGCGAAAGTGAACAGTAAAAATCGACATGATGAAATTATGAGGTCCTCAAGAAATGAACTTTGTGATAATTTACTCGTTCCCTAAACCTGAAATAATTCCATCGTCTACTTTCAAAATGCTTTTCAAATGAATGGGACCGTCTTTAACCTAAAATATATGCCATACTGAACGTTTCAGCTTGTTTATGGTGAGTAAATAAAAACTGCGTCGTACAAACAACTGTTTACTTTCAGTTTGAGTTTATCTTGACTTACGATCTAAAAACTAGAGACGTTCCGAAATCCTGTTTTGGCCGGATCAGAACTCGGCCAATACGGAAAAAAAATCTGTATTGGCCGAGTTGACATCTTATATTGCATATGCAGTTTTCATCATTTTAAGTACAATAACAGTGTAGTTAATTAATAATGATACAGTTACAGACTCTGCTGCTATAACTTTGTGAACAAAGATTCATACGCACCGCGTGGGTATAACCGTATTACTAATTTCCGATTATTAAAATCTTCGTAAATCTTGATATAGACCAGTTTCTATCCAATGGATATCAAAATGATTCCGATTATTACTTTTTTAATGATTGTAAAGTTGAAATGGCATGAAAGGGCTTTAAGGCTGACATTATTTAGGAGAACTATTTTGTCTAGCGATTGCTGATCATTGGAGGGTAAAAAGTCCAACACCATAACAAAACGGATCTATTTATCATGTATACATACCGATTGTTTACGATTGTTAGACATGTGCATAAAAGTGAAAGCTCGAATAAATATGAAAAATATAACAAAGGGATAGCTCCAAATACCATTTAATAACAAAAAACATATGGACAGGTCAAGATATCTTTTTGGTGAATAAAATAACGTATGTAAACTGGTTCCCGTCCGACTACAACACTTTAACAAAGACTTTGTTCGAGTGTAGCGTAATACAAGCAGATTCCAGTTAGTATGTAAAATAGTAAATATGAAACCGAGTGCGGTAGGCGGAGGCATAATCAACTTCCGTTAGTTCTGGTCAATGGTATCGGAAACATGCCGCTGATAGCGTCATTTTCCAAAAATAATTGAATCAAAATAGTATTTCAATATGGCAAACAATAGTACCAAATATGAGAGCTTTCTGTAAAACAGCTTCTGATGAGTTGCTTTCACAAGTTGTCCTTGGTACAATACTTAACACAATTGAGCAAAGTCCCATTACTCCCATAAACATTGTCAAAATCAAACTGACGATTTAGTACGTTCAAAATAATATGGAGACAGATCATCCTACCAAGTATGAAAGCATATTGTTGTGTTTCAGTCGTACAGATGGAGACCATTACCATATCCACACTATATATGTGCGGGGAACAATTATAAATATAACAAGGATATCTGAATTTACCGTGTATAACATGTATCTAATAATAAGTATTACAGTATAATCTCAATTTATGAACATAGTTAATCATATAACATTGTTTTCTAACATGTATGTAAGATAAACATATACAAAGTTATATGGCCCCAATTAATATCTTAAACTAATGAGTATATGCAGTGAAATGTCAGAAATATTGTCACCAAAAGTAGATAATATCGTTTAAGAAAAATCAAGTTCCTACATGTATTTGATTGATCAAGCATAGAGAAAAATACATCAGATGTATAAAACTTATGTAGAATATAGGCATGAAAAAAAGGTATCACAGACTAAAAATAAATCATGAAAGTATTGATAATTATGATATCAAAATATGTAGGGCCATTTTATACTTTATATGAAAAAATGGAGGTTATTTTGACTGATTGCGGTTAAACATAATAATTATAATCAATATTGATCATCTATTTAAAATTTAATTTTTTTTTAAATTTTCTACCATTATCATAAACTTTCAAAACATCATCTTACCATTTTGAAAAAGCAAATTAAAGGGTATACTTGAATCGACAGGAATTAGGAAGCTAAATATTTGTTACTTAGCCGTACATTTTTTATCAGAAAATCTGGAATGTTTAAACATTTACTATCAAATTCATACGAATAAATTCCTGCTATATCAACTGGCCTATCAAATATTTCTATTTTATACCAGAAATATGTACCACTTTTTCACTTAAATTACTCACTTGTCAATGAAAATAAATATATCATAAATAACATAAACTTAAAGTACACTATGCAATCTACCTTTACTTATATAGTAAAGGGAGACAATTGAAAAACTAAATCTGGTAAATCATTATCTTTATATTGCACTGGTAATGTAATCTTGTGTACCAATAAAATCTCAGTTTTTAGATACTCCTGCTAATACTGCTCCACCAATGGCTATAGCGAATCCAAACATTAAAATCAGTAAATTCCTCTTTCCCTACAAAAGTATGTTATATATATATAGTCATAAAGCTGCATGCATTAAAAGGACAAATTTTCAATTTTACAACATATACAATATTCACACCTTGTTGGAAAATATATATTGGGTAATTAATTGGTACGAGCTTTAGAACCTGGAAGAAAAGCTAGGCTTGCTGAGCTTTTCTACTTTTCTTAATGAGTTCAAATAAATACTGGTAATATGTTTTTTCAACACTGTTTATTTTAATCCTGCTATTTGACATTGATGCTACAATGCTCACTTTATTAAATTCCCAGTCAATAAAGAAATACACTTGCAGGATGTAGAGAGTAAAGATGACATAAAATGTAACTGTGAAGTAAACAGTAATCAAAATGTAACTGTGAAGTAAACAGTAATCAAAATGTAACTGTGAAGTAAACAGTAATCAAAATGTAACTGTGAAGTAAACAGTAATCAAAATGTAACTGTGAAGTAAACAGTAATCAAAATGTAACTGTGAAGTAAACAGTAATCAAAATGTAACTGTGAAGTAAACAGTAATCAAAATGTAACTGTGAAGTAAACAGTAATCAAAATGTAACTGTGAAGTAAACAGTAATCAAAATGTAACTGTTTGTTTGCAACAGAAGCAAGATACTGGGAAATGAAATGTGAATACTATACAGATATTGCCTTATTTTATCTAGACCTGTTTCCATTTATTTGCAAGGTTGATTGTAGGATGAAATATACATGAAAAAGATAACATGAATTAACCAAAAAATTTGACTATACAGCAGACTATAACAACCGACATCCTTGAGAAAATGGAGGTACAAAGAAAAACAGATAATACACAGTTCAGATACCTGGACTTGGTACAGGCATGTCTAAGTCACTTAGACTCTGGTGGAAAGTTGTCTCATTGGCAATCATACCACATCTCCTTATTTTCATAAAAAAAAGTTTTTTCTAAATATCTTAAGATAATTTCAACTGCCTATTGTTTTTTTATTTTGTTATGATGATATATGTGACAAAGCTAAACAATCTCTATTATATACTAACAAATGCAAAGAAATTTGGAATGTTCAATATTTCACTTTTCATGGTTTGTATAAAAAGTATATGAAAATGTTCCTAACAGTATCCTTCATTGTTGATGTAGCTCTCAAACAATTTTAAAATACAAATGTATATGTAATAAGGATTACAGTGCACTAGTCAATTAACAATTTTTACTGAAATGTGCTCTTGAATGTTCTTTATTCTCAAGTGTTAAAAACTTTATCTAAATATATTACTGCAACAAAATGTTAATTCTAATGTATGATCAATTCTAGAAAAGTAATTTATCTGTACTGTATCGTGCTTTCAATATTTTGAGTACTAACCTAAAGGTTTTCATTTCAAAATTGAAATAACTTAAAAATTCATTAGGTAGTCCTTATTTATTTGAACATTCCATTATGTCCACTTACGGTTATTTCTTTGAATACCAGAACACCCCATAATGAGGCTACAACAGATGGACCAGCTGTAACTATAGGGAATGCCACTGGTATAGACAAAGACCTGTTAGCCACAAACCAACAACTGGTTGCTATGCCCCACATAACACCTGATACAATGCCAGGCAGTATAACTTTTGGGTATATCTTTGGTTTGTTCTTCATTATAACAATATAAATACAGAAAAATGTTGTACTGGTTAAATATATACCACAGAAACAGGAAAACACATAGTCTAAACCTACAAAAATATACATATATTTTATACAGGAATACATTTGAACAATAAATTTGTATGATGAACTAAATGACTTTACTGTTTGTTTTTGTTCCATAATACCTTAAATTCAGAAATAATGCGACTAGCCACTAGGTAAGTATTGCAATAGTAAGAACTCGTATTCTGATATATATATATATATAATACATATATCTGTATTCATATTTTCCTGAAAAACGCAATAATTTATCTCACATTTCTGTCCTTTCTACAAAAATCACAATAATAAATGACCGAATGATTTCTGAATTTACAGTATAACTTTTATGTACACTTGATTGATTTATCTGTAAATGTAACTTTTTGTAATAAGTCTACCCAAGTATTCTTTAAGATATTATATCAACTTTTTGAACATTTTATGGAAATACAAAAACGCAAAGGTTCTCTATTTGGTCCAGGAAACTACTTTCTAATATGAAAGACATCTCAATTGGGGTCAACCACAAAAACTGTTATATCCACCCATGGAAGAAAAATAATCTATTCATAGCTTTAAAAACAAAAACTATTTGCAAAATGGAATAGTGACTTCCATGTTCATCAAGATCCTAATAAGTTCAACTTCAGGTCCTGAAAAATCTATTTACTTAAAACATTTAAAGAATACAGTATTTCATTTCAAAATTTTATTGCAGTTTCACTAATTATTTGAAACTTTTCATTCACTCAACAAACAAAAGAACATAATTCAAGTATGATACATGTAGTTAATGTTATGTCTAATAAAAAAAAATGCAAACCATTTAATGAAGCCCCTGGGAAATTGGCTCTGTGGTCCTGAATATATGTGGCACCAGTAAACATCTGACCATACATCAGACCAGAGAATAAACATAGTATTAATCCTCTGTAACATAAATAAAAGAGAAAAATGTTGCAAATGTACATGAAATAATCTTGCTCTCAAATACATTTACAGTTTGCTACCCTTTTTTTTTAACTTAATTTATGATTTGTTTACAGATCCAAAGTGAAAAATTACACTTTATTTAGATTTAAAACAGGTTATTGAATTTACAAAAAATAGAGCATAAAAATTTTATAAGAATTTGTGAAAGCATAGCATGAGATTCATGAACATTGCTTAGTTTTTTTATAATAAAGTTCAAAGTCCCATAGCTCTATAACAACAAAAGTGCAATCCTCTAAACCAATAGACCCTCAAACCACATATTTTCTTAAAAGTTTTAGGCACATAGTTCAATGTAAGTGGCACATAGTTCAATGTTTGAGGCACATAGTTCAATTTTTGAGGCACATGATAGTTCAATGCTTGAGGCACATAGTTTAATTTATGAGGCACATAGTTCAATTTATGAGGCATATAGTTCAATTTTGAGGCACATAGTTCAATGCTTGAGGCACATTCAATTGCCTATTTTTCAAGGACTAAAGTTCCGTAAGTCTGGAACAAATAGAAAATTGTGAAAAAGTTTACACACTCTCATCCCTCCTTCTTAACAATTTGAAGTAAATTTTTACATATTCATGCTGGATGTATGAACAGACAGGATGCACTAAAAGATGGACAATGATATACCAAAATATATTTGTTGTTTAGGTGGTGTTTTTTATCATCGATACAATTAAGGTTTAACAATTATACAAAATAGCTAGTATCTGAACACTTACAAAGCTCTTTTTGCACCAGGTGACATCCTATCTATAAAGGATTCATCTATATTCATCTCTTGTATATTTGTACTGCTTCCCTAATAAACACAAAAATAAACATATGTCATATAAAAATTTCTAGTTAGTTTTTTATTTAAATTACATGAATTAGCAATGGAAAAAAATATAACTTACTATGAAGAAGTGAATTTATATATTATTGTATAAATTAGTATAAATGCAAATCAAAATGTCTGTATAAGAATAACTAGCTGTATTAAAATGAAACATCAGTCCAATTTTAGTTAAATACTAAATGCTTATGAACAATTTAGCAACAGAAATATTGTTTAGCGACAGTAAATAAAATGCTTAGCAGAACGCAGCCTGGTTACAACCACAGAGGTCCAACCATGAACAGATGGGGCAAAAATTGACACAATATTCGTGCTTGATACAGGTCTGAATTTGGCTTGAAATTAAATGTTTGACACATAATAGGTTTCTGACACAGAATAACTGTAGTCAAAGAACTTAGAATTGGTTATGTGATTTGAATTTATATTCAATTTTTATGCTGTTGTGAATTGCCCCCCCCCCCCCCCCCCTCCTCCCCCTTTTTTTTGGCAAAATTTTTTTTTTCACCCCACCCTTTTTTTTTTTTTTTACAAAAAAAAATTATATTTGAAGAAATTTTCTTTTTAATTTCTGAAATCTGTAATGAGAAAAAAAAATTGTTCCCCCACCCACAATTTCTTTTTAACCTCCCCCCCCCCCCCCCCCATTTTTCCAAAAAAAAAATGTTTCCCTCAAGATATGGTCATTATCTCAATTCAAATTTCCAATGGAGTTTGCAACCATAATTACCCATTTAAATACATTATAAAAGTCTTTATAAATAGAAAATGACATACATAATCATGTCTAAGAATAATATATCTTTAATCAGCATTTTTATTAGTAAATTCTAAAAATAAATTGACAGCTAATCACCTCAAGACAATACAAAATTTCTTTATACATAATTTTAAAGCAGTGTAAGGGAGGTAATCCAAATTTAACATTGAGCTTAAAAGTGATTGTCCATTAACAAGGAAACCTTTGTCTTTTTCCCCTTTTTTGTCCGTAATTCCTGTTTGAGCCATTACCTTCCCCCCCAAAGCCAATTCTAACCATCCCTTTGTGGTATGGAAACTTGTTGTACAATTTCAGAGAGATCCATACACCATTCAACAAGTTATTGTCTGAAAACTAGAAAAATGCTTATTTGGGCCCCATTTTTGGCCCCTAATTTCTAAACTGTTAGGAACATAACCCCCAAAATCAATCCAATTTACCCACCTTCCTCTTGTGGTTATAAACCTTGTGTTTAAATTTCATAGATTTCTATTAACTAATACTAAAGTTGTTGTCCGGAAACAAAGTGTCTTCGGACAACGACGACTTGATAAATGTTTGTGGTCGTATAAAAAAATGGTTGTGTTTTTGTTATGTGAAGTATAAATTTAGCAATCTTTGGAGAATTGTTTTTTTGTCTATGGTGTTACTCTAAATATATTAAACATATTGTTGTAATCATTCTTCATTTTATGAAGTTCTCATTGAACCTAGCAACAGCCCTTAAACTAATTGTCAAATAAATGATATTTATTTTCTTCCCAATTTGAAATATGGGCACCAACCTAGATCATCCTGATATTTGATAATATAATGAAAGATACATATGAGAAGATTATTGAAAATTTTAGGATGGTCCACTTTGGTGCTGATGTTATATTTCTTCTCCAAACAATGCTGAATTGCAACAATGCTTTAGTTTTTGAGATATAAGCCAAAATGTACAGTTTACCACTATGGTCTATTTTTACAACAGCTGCCATATCTTTTTGATGGATCAAATCCCTGGATACACTTTTTTAACTAGATACCCATAAGGAACATACAGCTTAAATTTGGTAACAACAGTTTGAGAGAGCGAGTGAGAGAAGGAGAGAATCACTGAGACATGAAGAGAATTTCAAATCATTTCTATATTTTTTCATGGTTTTGTGAAACAAGTCTTAAAACCCTGTGACACCTTACTCTGGTGGTGCTAAAAGGGTGAGGAAAAACCCTGACTATTAAAAAAAGGAAAAAAGAAAGTTTGATAACATTAGGTCAAGCAGTTTAGGAGAAGAAGATTTTTTAATAGGTTTATCATGACGGACAACCATGGTGTATGCCAAGTGATGGCAAAAGCTGACATGGTGAGCTACAAAGGAGATAACTAAATGTATATTAATATTACCCTTCTCCTGCTAAACACTAAGACATCATGATTTCTTGTAGAATTATATAATGTATCATTTCCTTGTGTATTCAAGTCGATTTTCTTAAAAAAAAAATCATGCTTCATATAATCAATATATTTCAGAAAATTTGTTTCAAATACAAAAAAAAAAATTTTTTCTATATATTCATTATGAACATAAAGAAATACATAACGAATAGATCTCCCTCATGCAAAGCTCTGACTTCTTGTCCGGGTATTGGTATACTTTAGGTCCTTTTTGGTTTATCAGCTCTTCATCATTTGTATAAATTCTGGTTTTTCAAATATTTTGGCCATAAGCATCACTGAAGAGACATTCATTGTAGAAATGTGCATCTGGTGCAGTGAAATTAGTACCGTTTATGTTATTGTACGAGCTTCAAAATGGTTTAACTCTGTATTTATAATTATCTTCCTTAGTGACTTACCTGTGACATCAGAGGTTCATTTTCTTTTTTATAAACACTAGTTACTTACCTGTGATATCAGAGGTTCACTCTCTATATTGTCTACACCAGTTACTCACCTGTGAAATCAGAGGTTCACTCTCTATATTATCTTCACCAGTTACTTACCTGTGAAATAGAGGTTCACTCTATATAATGTCTACACCAGTTACTCACCTGTGAAATCAGAGGTTCACTCTCCATATTGTCTATAGGTGTTATCTCATTCTTCACAAAGGAAAACACAATAGCACTGTGATAAAAAAAAAGAAATTGTTCATTACTCATCTTATTTATTTGAAAAGGTGCTAACTGCATGCTTCATCATGGTTAAATAAGTTGATAAAATCTAATTTAAGTTGACATAAAATGATCATAAGACTATTTAAATTTGAACCATGACATTTGACCTTTCATTTAGATCTTGAGGTGATATGTCCCTGATCTTAATATCAAAAGCTTTATAAGTTGAAGGATAAAAACAGAATTACATGAAAAATGTTGTGCAGGTCACATCGAGGTCATGATGATATGAAACACACCATTTTATGACAATACACCTTCATACCAAATATCATAAGTCTAGGTAAAATGCTTAAAAAACATATGGTCTGAATAAGGCTGTATTAGAACCATAGTAAGTAGATGAAGAAATACTCCTGAAAAAAAATCCCCTCCAACAAAATTAAATAAAAAATAAATTTTTTGGATGAATTTTGTCAAGATTTTATTGATTTGATATTCTTCTTGTCTGTCATCAGCATGTTTACGTTGATATCTAACAGCTAAAAGGGCACTGTGTTTGTTTTTATTTCTGTCATAACAAGTTCTATCAATTCCTGATTTACTTTCTGTTATCTTGATCTTTTAATTGAGGGAACACATACTTATCTTTGTGTTTCCTATTTCATTTAAAGTGCAAGATTTATATGTGATTCAATTAAACAGAAACTGTTCCTATCAGATCCTTTTACCATTTGTGTTTGTGATTAATTTTAATTTATGTCTGCAGAGCTCCAGATAAGAATTCACAAATTGGGGTTTTTACCCACCATTTTTTTATGTAATTGGGTGATAAAGTTTTTTAATTGCATTATCAATTCCAATTCACCCCTCAAGCAAATATCAAATTGGGTTTTTCACCACCAAGCTCCTTAATGTATTGGTTTTTTTCATCAACACAATATTGAATATTTAGGCATGTTATATTCACATTATATCAACCCCAGATGTGTTTCCATCTTAAATGTGTTTCTTTCTTTGTAGAATATGTGCTAGCTGTTTTATTTGGTTTATTCACTGACGAGCAATTGAACATTTAATTTGTGACCCGTTTTAAACGTTCTGTCAGTTTTGTATTTTCTCAAAACTTATGTAAACTGCAGCTGGTGTCACTAGTTGGACAGGAACTAATTGCCTTTCTAGATCCCATATGATCACCCTACAGTTTAATTAAAGTTGAGGTAGGTGTGGCTAAGTGTTTAGATTTTTCTGTAATATATGTGAAATTTAGGTGCTGTAAGAAAATTTTGCCAGTCCTTTCACCTATTTGCCAGATCTACTTTTTAATAAAAATAAAAAAGTAGTTTCCATATTTAAGATATACCCCAAAACCTTGAGGTTTATAGGGTGTTTTATAATGACGGAGACCACATTCAACTTAAATTTACAAATAATTCTGCAACATCAAGTTAATAAATGACAATGTTATACTGCACTTGCCAATAAGACAACTATCTTAAGCATCTAGAACAATTAGACCAAAATAAAGAAAGTGTCAAGATGCATTGACGTAAAAAAACGGATATGTGTATTCACTCATCAACTAAAATGAAAAAAATAATATATAAACTGTTTTCGTTTAATTCAATTTACATAAATCTGGGTTAAGTTGTCCCTTATCAGAACGTTTGGTTTCCGATGCTTTCAAACTACATATCATGTCATAATTGATTTGGCCTTTCACTTTTTCCAACTGATTTCGTTTTTGACGGAACCCCGTGTTTATCGCTCTAGCAATGTTCTCCTTATGGTACGCAAACACGCCCGTGCGTTCAATGGCTGCTTCCTAAAATCACTAGCTGAGTTTGTTATCATCCTAACTTTCCCTCAGCTATCAAAAAGAAGCCGAAAACTATGGCAAGCCGTTTTTATATTTTTTCAATTTCAAGATATCTTATAAAGTAAATAAGATATCTTATAAATTATATAAGATATCTTCTAATGTTTATAAGATATCTTATTTAATTTGAATTTAATAATATATCTTATTTATTTTATAAGATATCTTATTAACTTTTAAAGATATCTTGTATAGTTTATAAGATATTATATCTTTTTAAAGATATCTTTTAAACAAATACTTTATGAGATATCTTGTATAGTTTATAAGATATCTTTAAAAGTATATAAGATATCTTATTTACTTAATAAGATATCTTATTAACTATATAAGATATCTTATTAGTTAAACAAGATATCTTATATGATTGATTTATCAGATATCTTATTTAGTTAATAAGATATCTTATTTAGTTTATCAGATATCTTATTAACTATATAAGATATCTTATCTAAAATAGCATTATTAAATAAATTCAACAATGAACGCTCCCTCTTGAACTACGAGGCAGTAAATAGATCATGTGATCGCACTTTCAAAATGGCAGTTGAAAAGAGTTGGTTATTAATAAATATTCGAGATGTTAATATCCAGAAAGCGTATTAGAAATGACAAAATGCGACCTGAATTAATTCTTGGCCTTGAGATTAAGTGAAAGGCCAAATCAATTAATCGCGCTACAGACTTTATCTGTTTCAAAAAATGTATATTAACTTTTGCAATCAGAATAAAAACGATTTTTTGGCGTCCTAAAGTATGGTTCTTGAGCTCTCTTGTATAGTTTATGTTTGATGTGTTTGAGCTTTTGATTTTGCCATTTGATTAGGGACTTTCCGTTTTGAATTTTCCCCGGAGTTCGGTATTTTTGTGATTTGGCTTTTTTTCAAGCTATTTGAAATATGACATATCATCTAAAAAAAAAACCAGTAACTGTATATAAAATCTGTTGACTTTGATGCAAGTGATAATCAAGGAAAGATCGTGACGAAAAACACCATCAAAATATAATAACCGTAAGCTTACAAAGCGTTTTTTGTCATATTTGGATAGAATAAAAGAGAGGTATGGTTAAAAGTATATAAAGTATGTCCATAAAAAATGTAGATCAAATATGACCATGCCAGCACAAGTGTCTGCTTTAAAGAATTTGAAACATCCCCTAGTTTTGGGATCATGTCAGTTTGTGAACTAAGTCTCATTCCTGTTACTATATCTGGCTGCCGAATTCTGAAAGGAAGAACATTTTGAATTTATCAAAGAAATCCCCTCCCCCCCAAAAAAAAACCCCAAAAAAACCAACTGGAATTTCATAAAATATTTTAATTCTTGATAATAATTTCGTAAATTCTTATTTCTAGATAAACAGAAAACAGATTGAAATGAGATTGGCAATACATTTTAAGTAAGACTTATATAGATATATTTCCTTTAAAATAAAATATTTTTTACAGTTATTAAGATATCTTATATATTAAATAAGATATATCATTCATTAAATAAGATATCTCATTCATTAAATAAGATATCTTAATTATTAAATAAGATATCTTCATTATTAAATAAGATATCTTCATTATTAAATAAGATATCTAATTTATTAAAAAAGATATCTTAATTATTAAATAAGATATCTTATTTAACAAATAAGATATCTAATATATATATAATAAGATATCTTATATATTAAATAAGATATCTTAATTATTAAATAAGATATCTTAATTATTAAATAAGATATCTGATATAATAAATAAGATATCTTATATATTAAATAAGATATCTGATAAACTAAATAAGATATCTTATATATATTTCATATATCAAATAAGAATCTACAAAACAATAAACAATTATAACTAACTCTTTTTGATATTAAAATGTTCTTTGCTGGTAGTAAACTGTTATTTTCATATCATTGCAATTTTTCCTGCTTGAAGCACTTAAACAAATTTCATTCATATTGATAGGGAGCAAGGAATTGCTTCGTTTTTTTTCGTTTATCGTGAAATGATCATTTACAACCTCCGTGGAAATACACAACCCCCCCCCCCCCCATTTTTAGTAATTTGTATGTCAACAACAAGCACTTCCATTTAATACAGCCGTGAATAAATGTTTGCCAATAAAATTTAAGGCTTAATTGATAACAAAAATGGAGAAAACAAGTATTGAAATAAAGCTTTAAAAGTGCAGAGTAATTATTTTGACATAATGCGGATGTTCAAGGTTGGAACATCCACAGGTATCATCAGTTGTAATCAAATCAAATAGACCGTTGTTAACCAATTAGAAATTTTGGTTATTATATGGGTGCATGTGAATTAAAATGAAAGATAATTTTCTCTTTTTATTGTGAAATTAAATATCAATTTTACATAACGGTGGCGAAACAGAAGTCATTTTTATTGATATATTATTGTCTAGTGAGTGGTGAAGGACACTTAATTTTTTATTCTACTCCATTGGAGGTGTGCCTACACTGGCAGAATCTATAATACAGATACAAATTAACAATCTCGATCTGAATTGCTATTGATTTTTATGATTGGTCAATATTTTTTCCAACATAAAGGTATACTTTATTTCAAGTCTTAAAAGGAAAGGAAGATATCTTATTTAGTTAACAAGATATCTTATTTAGTTTAAAAGATATCTAATTAAGTTTATAAGATATCTTTATAAGAAACTATATAAAAGATATCTTATATAGTTTATAAGATATCTTATAAACTTAATAAGATATCTTTTAAACTAAATAAGATATCTTATTAACTAAATAAGATATCTTATATGTTAAATAAGATATCTTTATAACCAGTTTAATAAGATATCTTATTTAATTATCAAGATATATCAATTCATTTATAAGATATCTTATTTAATTATAAAGATATCTGATTTAATTTAATAAGATATCTAGAAAGTGAATAAATATAAAAACGGCTTGCCATAGTAAACATGCTTCTATTCAATATTTTTACCGGACATTTACTTTCGTTTTAATTCATTGTATGTTGTGATAAATCCCGAGCAATTTGAAAAAAAATGACAGCATGTCACACGCTAATTGGATAAACGCCAAGAAGATCGAAATCTTTTCATAAACACGTGTACCTTTTGAGCAACGGAAAATTCCAACAGGGACCCATTACAGCTCCTTGATGCAGGGCTCTATTTTTAGAACAAAAGGACATTTCCAATTATAAATATTATAAAAATAGATTTACGCGACGACTGTAATCAAGTAAGGGTAAATAACGCAAACGATAGCGAATAAAAGCGTTAAAAACCCATGTTTTTGGCATATAATTGGATTTTCCTTTGAATTAATTGGGTTATTGAACCATGCAATGGGCAATTACATTGGGTTTTTAATTATTTTGATTGCGTGATCACGCAAATACGCAGCTTATCTGGAGCTCTGTGTCTGATCTGGATTTATGTGGTTTTTTTTTAATTTCTTTGAGTTTTGTTACACTGAATTTGCATTAGATTTCACTAGTCCTCTATTCAATATACTGATTATCCACACATTTGTTCTTTCCACGACATCATATGTAGTGGGTTTGCAATGCATGTCAAAAAGAACTGCTTAAATCAATGCTATTGTATGCCTGATAATCTTATACAGTGAAAATTGTTTCATCACAGGACACTTTCCAGCAACTTTCAGATTTATTTCCCTATGCATAAAACAAGAGTCTGGAAGTGATAATATTTTGAAGTCATGATGGCTATAAAAATTTAAAGTTTGAAAAATGCAAATTGTATAACCTCTGGTTTATATTAGATATTTATTTAATAGATACTGGTTTTGTAAATAAGGAATATACCTGATGTACACATTTTAAAATCAATATTGCTACCAATTGACTTTGGTTCCTATATTTATCTAAACGTCTCTTATTCTGTTTTTTGTTCATAAAATTATAGTATAAGCTGTGACTTACTAGTAAAGAGAAGGAAAAATAACCTACCAATAGTAAAATGAAACAAGAGGCTGTCAGAGTGACAGCAAACCAGATTTTCCTGCAGAGGTCGAACTCTGAACAGTTGGGTAAGTATGGACACAAAATATAAGCTTAAAACAGCTCTGAATTTGGATTGTGATTGAATATTTGACACAGCATAGGTTTGTGACACAAAAGGAATGTGGTCAAAGAACTGAAAAATTTGAAATTGGACATTTACCTATTATGGTCCAATATCCAAAAGCTAAGTACACTGTTAGAATCAGCATATCAAAGAACCCCAAAAATACTTATTCATTAAATAATTTCTTTTCAAAGGGAAATAACTCAAACTAAACAAAAGACCAAATGACATAGAAATTAATTATCAATTTCTGTTCAAAGGGAAATAACTCAAATTCATATAATAAAAATCAATTATTAATTTCTGTTCAAAGGAAAATCTCAAATTCATATAATGAAAATAAATTTTGCTACTGAAAGGTCTACAACTCAACAACGAGAACAGCTAAAATTTTGAAATTTTTCTTGACCTTCATTTAGTCACAGGAAACAACATATCTTTATTTGAAAAGATTTCGTCAAAGCGTTTTCATGTAAATGAACAAATACTGTTTGGCAGCGGCCTGCCCGCCCGCCCGCCCGCCGTACATCCCCAAATCAATAATCGATTTTTCTTTCAAAAATCCGGTTAAAAATTGAAAAAAGGAAAGCCTGTGAAATGTCTACTTATTGACATCTTTAACCAATAAATAAAAAAGTGCTTTACCCATCTTCTTTTTTATATTTATATTTCTCTTTAATTTGATAGCAGATTTTTAGTCAATGAAGAATATCACGTTTGTGGTATGGATAATTAAATCCCAGCCCTTACCCCTTTTTTCAGAGTTGCAAATGGAGAATAAAATTATTTGTTCTTTTTATCATGATTATACGTACCTAAATACACACATTGCAACACCAATATAATTCATTACTTCATTATGAGGAACAGATGCTGTTAGTCCAAAGAAGCCAAATCTACAAAATTAAATCTGATATGTACATGCAGAGTATTTGCTATGTCAAAATTGCATTATACTGCATATAAGCTTAATAGGAGTGTTAAAAGATGTGAAAGATTTTTTTCTATATCAATTACATATCCAACAAACTTATGATACATTTGAAAAAGGTGATAGAACATTTTTGACATTATACTTGCTTTCCTTCTATAAGACAAACCTTTAATATACTTGTCTGCAAACTTCTATTAATTCAAGAGTTGGTTCATAAGTTTAAAATTGAGCAAAAGCGAAATAAAATGACATGTGAAGAAAATCATAGTAGGTAGGCAAAGTTTACAAAAGTAGACATCTATGATTTTACTATTGAATTACCAAGTGTACTTGAAATCAAAGCACTATTTCACAAAAAACCATAACCTTTAAAATGTGTAATACTGATATAGAAATGTTAAAAACACATATGTGTATTTCAGTTTATACAAAATGTTTTATGGCCTTTTCAGCAACAGCTATATTTAATATGGAAAAAAAGTTTTAGAAGCCACTAAACATATGATATGTTATATATTTTTGGATTTCAACTATAAACAATGCTAATCTGAACTAACATTTTTTATTTTTGATCATTTTTACATAACAACCAACCAGCAGTCTTTTTTTTATTTTGTTAATATATTCTGCAATAAAATTGAGAATGGAAACGGGGAATATGTCAAAGAGACAACAACCCGACCAAAGAGCATAAAACAGCCCAAGGCCACCAATGGGTCTTCAACACAGCGAGAAAATCATGCACCCGGAGGCAGGGCTTCAGCTGGCCCCTAAACAAAAATATGTACTAGTTCAAGAGAAAATGGACATCACACTAAACTTCGAAACATATAAATGAACCGAAATTAAAAAAACATACAAGTCTAACAAAGGCCAGAGGCTCCTGATTGGGAACAGGCGCAAAAATGTGGCGGGGTTAAACATGTTTTGTGAGATCTCAACCCTCCCCTATACCTCTAGCCAATGTAGAATAAACAACCACACAGCAATATGCACAGTAAAACTCAGTTTAAAAGAAGTTAGAGTCCAATGTTAGAAGTCTTTACCAATAATGATTTATGCATAGATGTCATGAATGTTTCAAAGAAACATCTACAGTGAAATCAGTTACAACTGTATCTCTCTGAGACTGAAGTTTTTTGGTCAGATGAGATAGGTGTTTGATGAAGCAATAAAATTGAGAATGGAAATGGGGAATATGTCAAAGAGACAACAATCCGACCAAAGAGCAGACAACAGCCGAAGGAATATTTATTATATGTCCAGGTTAAGACAGGTTTAGATGTTTATTGTGTGTTAACCAAATAAGTTATACTTCAAAAACACATCTATAATATTACTGTGGATTCATTTATTTTCTTGGCATTCATGGATTTGCCAAAGTCTGCATACATACCTATAGAAAATAAAACTTCTGTTAATATTTAAATAGGTCATTTACCTTTACCCATGAATTCAACACAAATTGGTATCCCACAAATATTAATGAATCCACAGTATCAAAAAAAGGAAGCTCTCATAACTTAACAAAGTCAAGATAGCAGTTACAGAAATAAAGCAATAAATGTACATGTTCTGTACATATCAAAACTATATAATATACCTTCCTGTGGACCAACCACTCAGAAGGTTAATCATCCCCCAAATACATATACCTAGTCCTAAACCAATTGTCTTAACTATAGGCACCACACAAACATTTCCTACAACAGAGAAAATAGGTCAATCATTCCCCAAATACATATACCTAACCCTAAACCAATTGTCTTAACTATAGGCACCACACAAACATTTCCTACAACAGAGAAATTAGGTCAATCATTCCCCAAATACATATACCTAGATCTAAACCAATTGTCTTAACTATAGGCACCACACAAACATTTCCTACAACAGAGAAAATAGGTTAATCATTCCCCAAATACATATACCTAGCCCTAAACCAATTGTCTTAACTATAGGCACCACACAAACATTTCCTACTACAGAGAAAATAGGTTAATCATTCCTCAAATACATATACCTAGCCCTAAACCAATTGTCTTAACTATAGGCACCACACAAACATTTCCTACAACAGAGAAATTAGGTCAATCATTCCCCAAATACATATACCTAGATCTAAACCAATTGTCTTAACTATAGGCACCACACAAACATTTCCTACAACAGAGAAAATAGGTTAATCATTCCTCAAATACATATACCTAGCCCTAAACCAATTGTCTTAACTATAGGCACCACACAAACATTTCCTACAACAGAGAAAATAGGTTAATCATTCCTCAAATACATATACCTAGCCCTAAACCAATTGTCTTAACTATAGGCACCACACAAACATTTCCTACAACAGAGAAAATAGGTTAATCATTCCCCAAATACATATACCTAGACCTAAACCAATTGTCTTAACTATAGGCACCACACAAACATTTCCTACAACAGAGAAATTAGGTCAATCATTCCCCAAATACATATACCTAGCCCTAAACCAATTGTCTTAACTATAGGCACCACACAAACATTTCCTACAACAGAGAAAATAGGTCAATCATTCCCCAAATACATATACCTAGCCCTAAACCAATTGTCTTAACTATAGGCACCACACAAACATTTCCTACAACAGAGAAATTAGGTCAATCATTCCCCAAATACATATACCTAGCCCTAAACCAATTGTCTTAACTATAGGCACCACACAAACATTTCCTACTACAGAGAAAATAGGTTAATCATTCCTCAAATACATATACCTAGCCCTAAACCAATTGTCTTAACTATAGGCACCACACAAACATTTCCTACAAACAAAGAAAATAGAAACTACACTACTACAGGATTGGGAAATCTATTTTCTTGTTACCAAACTGTTTTGCCAAGAAGCAATTCATAAAATGAAATGTCAATTATTTGATAACATTTTGTTTATCTGAACACAGTTAGATCTCTTTTATTTACATTTCACTTCATGTCCTTGAACTGCAGAAAATTTCTTTGCTGATTGGTCAGTTATTGAAATATTCTTTTGATGAATGTAGGATAAAATAGAAATAAAAGATTTAAATTTCAAAATAATTTTAATGACATACCTAATTCCCAAACTACACCACCGATCATAGCAATAGGAAAGAATGGTGGTTGCTTTCTGATTAATTGTACAATTATACCGACCACCATTACAGCACTACACACTATCCACTGGAAAAACATACCTAGAAATAAATCAGAAGTTTTGTTATTATCAATTCTTCAAAAGTATATACATATCCCTCAATGTTTTAGCCATGGTCCAGAAACACAAACCTCATACTGACTTCCTAAAGATGAAGACAATAAGTTTCACTTTTAACCCAAGGCCGTTCAGCGTATCAGAGGATTTTTTTTGAAAGAAAAGTTTTAAGATGTCAGAAAGATATAAAATCATACAATGATTCACAGATGTTGAGTGTACATTATTTACACTTGCCTTCATTTTAATATCTTTACATGTAGTTGTAAATAATAAATCTTTATTACTAAAATAACATCACATAACATTGGCATTTATAACACAGATTTTGAGTTCATATCTTCAACACATAAAGACTGTTGTGAAGTATGCATACCTCACACTTCCAGATCTCATTGTTTCCCATGTGATTTAAATAATTAGTGATAATTAACAATTCAAGCTTCCTTCCTTGGACAATATTATTATTATGTTATCAATTATGTCCCTTTTTCCAGTTCCAGGTTAGACTGGAAGGAAGATTCAACAAGCAATTTAGATATTAGTATTCATTTTAATAAAAAGATTTTTTTTTATATATTTGAAAACCTACATCAGTACTGTTTTATTTACATAGTTTATGTAACCTTATTTGATCACTGGAAACAGAGAACAAAAGCGGTTGGTTATTGTCTTTATTTCTTTTGTCCATTCATTGGAAATTGAAACGGGAAAAAGATAGGGGGACTTTGTGGTATCAATTATTCCTAATTTCTGTTACTTACCATGCTTATAAAGAATTAAAAAAAAAATGGAAAACTTCTTTTTCAAATTGTTAATTACTAATTCACACTTTTCCAAACCTGCAGTTGTTAATCTTTAATAGACAGACAGTAGTCATTTGGATCATGTTAATACATCATCAATCATTAATGCATTGGTCAAAAATCAATTATATCATCACTTTTCTGTGTTGTTTTCCTGTTTCACCTTGTAAATATCTTAAAAAGTTCCCTTGCCTGATAACCTCATATGGAGAGAACACATTTTAAGTACTATTAGATTATTAAACAAATTACCAAAGTTTTCTTACAATACATGGTGTATATGTCTACTCTTTACAATACATGGTGTATATGTCTACTCTTTACAATACATGGTGTATATGTCTACTCTGCATGTGATACAAACTCTGTACAATCTTGACAGTTTAAAAATTTCAAATACTATAATTTCAAAAAATTATTGCAAAAAGTAAAATAACAAAAATACCGAGCAAATGGCAAAATCAAAAGCTCAAACACATCAAATGAATGGATAACAACTGTCCTATTTATTGCAAGGCTCTTTATTATTGCAAATGGGTGAGTATAGCAATAATAAGAACTCACATTCTCATATCTGATACATATATCTGTAAGTAGCTTTTCCTGATATATTGCAATAATTAATCTCAATTTTTAATGGTCATGTCAAAATCACGATAATAAATGCTCGCAATAATTTCTGAATTTACAGTATATAAATCATCACCACATAATTAAACTTTGAAAATTCTAACATCTCAAGGGGAGAGATGGCTTATTGCTCTCAATGCAGTACTTTAAAGAATTTTTACACTTGTAAATTTGATAGACAAAGAGCTCCAATTGAAATCATTCTCCTTTGCTAATGTACATGAGATGGAATGACTGCATATTGTCGATCCAAGTTAATAATTATTAGAGTACATCTACCTTCAGATTATATAATGCATGTACAAGGAAGCTTACCATCACCAGTTTCATATTTTTTAACAGGAACAAAATTACTGCCAAAAAATAAAATAGCAATTCCTGCAGTTATAAATCCCCATAGTTCTGGGATCTCTTCTGTTGCTGAAGGTGTCTGTACTGAGACCCATGATGGTTCTGTTGAAGTCACTGGAAGTATTGTGCTAATGTTACTATATAGATCGGCTGCCATTTTCTTAATTTTTCAGTCTTCTTTTCTTTCTCTCTGAAAACATTCATCATGCATGTTTATAATATAATATTAAACTATGTATAATTGTAATTTTTTAAATATATTTACATGTTAATAAAAAACAAAAAGACCACCCACATGTTGGGTTTTAACTCAGATCCTCAGCATTGACAGCCCAGATATACTGTCAGTCAGGGGTACTACTTATACAAGTGTATTTTTTTTACTTATATAAGTAAAAAAAAATTAACGTAATCACGTAAATTTTTTTTACTGTGAATTTGATCGATCGGTAAAATTTTGAATTTCGCGCATTTATCGTCATCAACTGCAGTACCCGGATGTTTAGAAACCGCCATCTACGCAGAATCCATCTTGTTTAGGAAAAAGAAGCAAGTACAGGTCAGTGAACTATGATTTTTATCGATTTGAAAGGTTAAAATCGGGTCATTTTGTGATGTTTTATTTGCATTTTTTCGAATGGAAGAGGATTTTTTAGGGACATCGTCATATTTTTCTATGGAAGTTTAGTTACTGAACCAACAGTTTCCGATGCATTTGTAATTGCGCAAGAAGGTTTTGTAATTGCGCACGCAAATTTTAGTCACCCACCCTTCGAGTTTTTTTTTACGTATATACGTAAAAAAAATATTAACATGAATTTTAGGGAGATAACTCTGGATGCCTTGTAACTATTTCGTGAATATACCAGTAAATGCCGGGAGTAAATGCGATATATTTATCATCGTGGAATTTATTCATTTCCCACAGAACGCATATTCCCAGCAAAGGACTGAATTTTATTTTGTTTTAAATAAAATGTTTCTGTATAAAGCGTCCTAAATATATATTTATATCATGCTGACTTTTAAAAGGACTTTCAATGTTTATAAAACATGTAATAGAGACACCAAGGCCAGACTTGTCACTCGGATAAAATAATTTCACCAAAGTAAATAACTAGTCCTACACAATTGAAAGAATTTCAAACATGGGTTTACTAGTATAGGCATTATATAATTGTTAATTTTTTTTAAGAGCGTGTGTCAAACATATTTTGTGCAAATTAGAACACAGCTTTGTTTACAAAGTAAATAAGGATGTTATATAGACCTTTTTCTATTCGAGTATCTGTGACACGAACTATTGATGTCAAACAACAATCACGTTTCTTTTTTGGCATCAGACATTTTCTCTTGTCATGCTTCTCATGTCAAAATTTTCCAGGAAAATGTAACATGTCCAGTAAAGGAGGACAAATAGCTAAAAGTTGTATTATAATTGCACGTAGGTCTGGTATTAATTAATAATCATGTTAAAAATAAGTATTATTGGATTATTGGTATTATTCTGTCAGATCATGTTTGTATTGGACTTAACAGAAACTTTGCACCTTTATCCTTTACATATGATTTCTGTGCTGTCGATTTATATAATTTAGATGTCTTGGAACTTTTTGTAAACATTTGGTGATCCACAAAATAATCATACACATCATGCACGTGAAAGAAAAACTTATATTGAGAATTTAAGAATTATTTACTGAGTAAAAAAAAATTACTTGATTAGGTAAAAATACATTACTTGATCAAGTAAAAAAATATTACTGGATTAAGTAAATAAACATTACTGGATTAAGTAAAAAAAACATTACTGGATTAAGTAAAAAAACATTACAAGCATTTTTACGCATACATATGGCAAATATACCCTTACTGATTTTCTGCCAGCAACGACTCAGAGGTGGTGTGAATCTGTGATTTCGGAGGGGAACCCTAATCGCACAGGTAGTGAATAGACTAAACAAGACTTCAGTGCACAACATTTTTTCTTGTCTGTTTAAGCCACTTAACTTTTCTCTCATCCCCACAAGAAAATTTCCCTTCAGAATTTGCAGTAACAAAATAAAAGGGGGTTGGCAATCTGGGTACACTTGGCTATTTGGTAACCCCGACATTTTACATTTTAGATCTTTTACTCCAATACTTACCTGACTTAAGACCCAGAAGTAAGATAAAAAAAATACTCGAACAAGTAAAAACATTATGCAGGTTGCATCAAATATTTCTTGTCTTAACTTGATATGGGTAAGGGTTCATCATTTTTCCCTTTGAAAGGGACTTTGAAAACTTCCTTTTTACAAAAAATTTAAAGTGGCACTAATGTCAGGCTGTCATGGCTGTGAAGTTGACTAATGTCAAAATAAGAGGTTTGGTTTCAAACGTAAATGAGAGTAGAATATTGAAATAATCTTGAATAAATCGCTGATTAATTATTATCTTGCAATTGAATAATTCAACCTCATTAGCATTCCTATTCAGGCGAACTTCAATTTGACCTTAACCAGGATGGGTTATAGCCTTTTTCAATTAATGTTTTATAGTGTGTCCTTTTATGTCGTATTTTTACAACACTGTCTCAGGTTATGGTGAAGGTTTGCGTCAGTTGAAATGTTCAAACCCACTGCATATATTACATAAGTCAGGAACCTGGTGTTCATTGGTTGTAGTTTGTTGGTTTGTTTCATAGATGTATCTCGTTTCTCGTTTTGTGAATAGATTAGACCGTTGGTTTTCATGTTTGAATTGTATTACACTGGCTGGTTATTTTGGGGCCCTTAAAATTTTTGAAAAGGTGTTAAAGGTCTGTTTGAACATCTTCAACTGAATAATATACATCTTTTTACAACAATCATGGAAACACTACAGTACATAATTTTAAAAGTCCATGACTCAGTTTTATTTGAGTACAAACTTAATACTTTATCACAAGGAGAAAAATATATTAAAATTTCTTATCTGAGCTTTTAATTCAGAGGAAATGTATATTTCAACTTTTCTGACATGTGTTATCTGTGAAAGTTGCAGAAGTCCCATGAAAGTAGTATATTTTGGCGCAAATGAAAAACTGCATTTTTTTATAAATTGGTGCAAATGTGCAAATGCAATGTGCTCCACTTTTATTAGTTCAAGAACTTGTGATTTGTTTTGTCTTGATTAATTTTTATGTATATTCTACCATGTCAAGCTCATATTTCAAAATTATTGGGATTTTAGTGTACTCCAATAATTATCTTTTGCTAATAGTCTTGGGGATTCAATTTTTATCATTGAAATGTCTTTTATATATATATATATCATGTATATCATTGCCAAATTAAGAATATTTATATTTCTACTTTTGCATCCAATATTAACTATCCTTAGATTTTAAATCACAAAAAGGTTGGGTTTTTTTCTTACAAATTTTCTATTAATAGTAAAAGAATTTATCAAGTTGATCTTGTTCTCATTATGAAATTTTGAACTAAAGAATTGACATAATTTGGTGTTATTCAATGTTAATGAAGCTTTAAGGGTTATTTAAGTATGTGTATTTAGTTTATTACATTTTCATGATTGTACAAAATGTATATTAGAATCTGTTCATGACAAATGCATGAGAGTATTATGTGTATTTTTCCACTTTAATATGACATACTTATTACTGATAGAATTTATTTTTTAAAGCACTTTATAACTACAGAGATCTAGGTTTCCTTTTCAGAATAATATAATCACACAATTTAACACTAATATAAAATTCCCTTCACAGTCTTGTCAGTTTTTAATACTGTTTTTTAAGCAATGCAAGAAAACTAAATATTCCAGAGATTATTGAAATAATACAAGAAAAGATGGCTTTAAATCATATATATAAAATGGTTTTTGGAAAAAGACAAACATATTACAGATTCCTTTGAGGTTTGTCATGTTTGTGAATTGAGTTACACATAATTTTTTTATATTTTTACATGTGTCCAATTTGGTCATTATTACATGTATTATCTAGTCTGAAAATAGTGTTGGTTATTCATTTGAACTGTCGTGACTGCTAGTCAGGTGTCTAGTTTTTTGTGCATCATTTATTAATACATTTAACTGTGTAATATGTATCTTTTATTGCCATTTAATTTGGTATACTTATTTTCTTTCCATTACAAAACATTTTACGTAATTTTATAATTTTGGTTTATAATATTGTGCAAAAAAACAGTAGAATAAAATAATATAAAATATTGCTTGTATTTAATGTAATTAGGAAACATGATTTGACTTATTTCATTTACTTTGCATTCTAATATCATTAGTCAGAAATGTTTGAAAACTATACTATGCCAATACCGTGTTCACTTATTTGTTGATTATAGTTGAATTAAAAATTGAAATCAATGGCTGTGTTTATTTTCCTTGATTTTTAGGGGAGACAATTCAAACAATAATACAGGCTTAAGTCTCAATTTTATACAACAACATTGCCAAATAAAATTTACTTATATAAGTAAAAAAAACATTAACAAATGTGTTTACTATGTAGGGAAGACAACTCTTACTCAATTTTTTTTTACTTGTATAGGTAAAAAAAAATTACTTGTATAAGTAAAAAATATACATGCAAACACATTATTTTTTTTTTACTTATAGAAGTAAAAAAAATACACTTGTATAAGTAGTACCCCTGACTGACTGTAGATGAATTATTTAGACCACACAGCCACTATGGCCCCATTTATAAATTATTCACAAATAGTTGAACCACCAAGATAAATTTCATACATACACATGATACAATGTTCCAGAAAATTTTGAAGAAGTTATTTACAGGATAAAGTTTATTTTATTTCTTAAAGGATAACCAAAGTTCAAATGAAGTGGATGCAAGCAGTTAAAGGTATATATGGCCATCAACAATGAGAAAAACCCATACTGTATGGTCAGCTATAAAAGGCCCCCATATGAAAAATATGAAACAATTAAAAAAACTAACATGACTAACAGCCTTATTTAAAACAGAACAATTTACCAAAAAAATTTGACAGACATGAACCAACGATAACCAACTTGGGACAGGCACATAAAAAACGGGGTTAAACGAGTTTGTGGAGCTCATGATCAACCCTCCCCCTAACCTGAGACAGTGGTGTAACAGTACAACATAAGAACAAACTATAAAAATCAGTTGAATAAGATCGATACAAATAGAAATACATCTAACAAATAAAAACAGAGTGGACATGGATGAGTACTTAAACATCCCCACAACAAAAAGACACTAAGTACAGATCTGAGAGTACTCACAGTTACTGACAGCTAGTTCAAAACCAATAACAACTAATAAAAAAAATCATGTATCTAAAACTAAAATATCAACAGTACACATCCAACATCCAATTGAGTTAGTGTAAAGACCTAATTATTATTATTGGCAGATCATTCAGGATTTATTTTAAATTGATACAACAACATGAACAAGGTGTATGATTGGTACTGTTTGTGTAAAGCTTCAGCATGTTGTTATGAAGTTATTTCCCATGATTATAATTACTGTATATATTTTACATGTGTAATTCTCACATTTACAAGATAAGGAGATAATTACAATCCAATGAAATATATATGTTAGTGGCAATAAGTGAATTAGGCATTAAGATTAGATCCTAGGCAATAAGACAATGCCTAGGCAGTAAGACTATTGCCTAAATAATGTTAGCTATATAGGCATTACTCTTAAATCCTGAAAATTGTGTCCAGGCATTAATCTTAAAAAAAATAAAATGTAAATGCAAGTAAATAAAAAGACATTTTTTCAAAGTTATAATACATTTGGTACATAATTTAATACTAGACAAGAACTGAAATTTAAATTGTCAACTACTTGAAATAAAGTCACTGGTTCTTGCATGTCTTGCAATCTTAGTTTTAACTCAGATATTTCCAAAGCTGTAAATTCACGACCATTGTCACTTTGCAGTTTAAGGGCGCATCAAAAATTGTGAAAACATCAATGGGGGTCTCATTGGGGGGTTCTGATCCCGGATCCCGCTTACTGTTTTGTCAGATTCCTGTATCCCGCTTACACTATGTACGTAAGCAATTCTCTTTTTTTTGGTAATTTCCCGTGTCCCCCTAGACTTCATTTCCCGTTTTCACGCCACAATAATTTGACTTTCACGTGTCACGCTTACAAAAAATCGGCAATCCCGGGTCACGCTTAGACCCCAATGAGACCCACATCAATTAGATCGAAAGTTGCCTCTGAAGCACATTTTGACGTGAGAGCTCTAATGTTACAAACTTTTGTCAGATGATTTTAATAAATAAATTTATAGTTTCCATCTGAGTTTGATTAGAAATTCATAAAATCAACCTGTCTTCTTTGGATAAAATGGGTTTCTATACTACCCCTTCCCAAATAAAATTCGAAATTGCAATATATACATTGTATGTGTCAAAGGCACATAATATTTTGTCAACCATTGCTTTTTTTCATAAAATTCAATAATATGCATGAACTACAAGAATGTCAAGTCAAAAAGATATAATTTTATATCTTGCAAATATTTTTTTAATTGGGGCTGGAAAGACTTGGGCCAGAATGACTTTGGAACAATCGACTTTGGTTGGGATGGACATGAAAGACATCATCAACATGTGTATACAAAAGTTATATTTCTGAAATGCATGTATTTGTAATCACAATCTGTATATACAGTCAGAGATATAACTCTATAGGGTTATTACAGAAAATAACTTGTGTGTGTTATTACAGATACTTTCATGAGTTGTCTACTATTTGTTCCTTAAATTTTATAAATCTGTAATAACATATGTTTGTTATTTGTAAAATAGATCAAAAATATTTTAATTTATAGTGGGCTCTAGGGAACTCTTGAGACTTTGCGCAGAAACTAAATGCATAGCCTTGATAACTAATTTTTTAATTAAATTAATACATTTTTGATTAACCATGGTAAATCAATGAGACAAGGCTTTTAAGGGATAAATTTAGCTGTAATAACAAGGCTTAGTTATTAAAGGAATGTAACTTATTACTTATTATATAAGACACTTGGGAATTACTGGGAAGCTTGCGCAGAACCTCATTACATGCTCTGGTCATTATTTCTTACAATGAATTAAAATACATTGTAATTAAGCATGATGTATGCCTGAGCAAATGATTTGGAGTGATATAGAGAAGCTGTGATAACACCCTTTAGTTATTACAGGCATACTTTTTCTGTAATAACATAGGTGTACTATACAAAATTGGCAAACTATGAACTGTTATATCTTTCTATAGTTAAGTATACATAAAGACAATAGTAATATCAATAGAACTTGTATACATTTTAACTAAACTAATGATGTATATTGTCCCTTTGAAACATGTAACATACATATGTTATCACAGTTCTTTGATTTTTTAGTCCACAATAACAAATGTATGTTATTTTTCTGTAATAACCCTATAGAGTTATATCCCTGACTGATATACAAACACTTAAATTGTTATAAATTTGTATAAATTTTCATTAATCACCCATGTGCAACAACATGTATTCTTCAGTATACACCTTTAATAGCTATTTGTCCGCCATTAAGGGACATCACAAAAGTTCCCGTAAAATTTTGACGTCATAATAGAAAATATCTGACGCCACAATGGAAAAGTGATTGTTGTATGACGTCAAAAGTTCAAGCGGGACAGATTCTCGAGTCAAGCGGGAATAGCAATAAGGTGTATTGAAGCCTTGTCAACCCAAAGAAGAGATCATGATCCTAGAGGCTATAGCAGGTTGGGCTCAAGTCAGGAAAAGTGGGGTATTCCGTGTTTTCAGGGACCATCCCAGTTTTTTGGTGTTAAAAAACCCCAGTTTACAGGGACTTCCTTTTTCTATTTCAATTCATGGCATGAAATTTACAAAAGCGCATGTTTTAACTGTATCAGTAGTATTTGTAAATAATTTTAAGTATCTCAGGAACAACAAAACATGAATAAGTGAAGCCTTGTTTTTTCTAGAACTCAAAAACATACAAATCTTTTGTTTAGGAATCAGTTGATCAAGCTGCATGCTCCAGGTGTAACTGATCATAACTGAATTATGCATGTTCACTTCTATTGAAATTTTCTATTCATTGAATTTAAATGCCTAAGTGATTAACTTATCTTTTTGTCTTCTCATAATTGATGATCAAGGTATGAATTGGTGAACAAAGGAATTGTTTTGTTGTGAGTTGAGCATCAAATAAGACTTGAAATTAGTTTGATTTTTGAACTTATAAAAACACTTGCTATCATATAACATTGTTATCACATGTAGAAGGTGCGCTTTTGTAGATTTCATACCATAAATTGACAAGGAAAAAAGAAGTCCCTGTTTACTGGGGTTTTTTAACACCAGAAAACTGGGGTGTTCCCTGAAAACAAGGAATACCCCAGTTTTCCTGACTTGAGCCCAACCTGTATAGTTTAGACAATAATTGACCAAATGATTTATAAGTGCAGTTTTGGAGCATTTTTCTGACTTATTTATCCAGCATTCAGGTCTTAATAAATGTCAATTAAAATGTATAAAATATAGTATTTCAAATAGCATTGGCTATCATATACAATCAAAACAAGGACGTCTGATTCGGACTTCGTCCTCTTTCATTCAGCGACTGGTCAGGTGTTAACCAGATCGGTCCTGTCTATTTATTGATCTACAGTGCAGTTGGGCTGACAAAAGAAGAACAGACTAGTTGACTAACTATAGTTAGAATACTGACCTAAAAAAACTTACACATCAAAATTAAATTAAAGTTGTTCACATTATTTGTTGACAAATTGTCAAATGATAAGAAATCGCTAAAAGTAAACAAACTCGGAATAGATCATTATTATATTCCGGAATTATAGTGGGTTTAAAATCTTGCGCTAAAATGGGCATTAATCATTTAACTCTACGCTAAAATGGTTTAAAAATCTTGCGCTAAAATGTGTTATACGTTGGCGATAAAACGTCCGAATATTTTCGCTAAAATGTCCTGATAATGCGCTAAAATGTCCTCCGCCGAAAAGGGGGATGGGGTGACAAAATTGGTCATTTACGGACAGTACCTCTTTAGGAAGTTATCTGACAGTTTTTGTGTAAATGAACAGTAGGTACATTATACATGTAGATCTCATCATTCCCAACATTGTAGTCCCTCTCATATTTTCTTTATCTAAAGCGGCTTTCAAGATAATAGACAAAACTTGCATTCAAGTTATCCCTTTATTTTCCATTTTAGCCATATCGGCCATGTTGGTTGGCAGGCAGGTTATTTGAGATTTTTTTTCTAAATGAAATACTCCAATGATTATTGTGGCCAAGGACTTATTTAAATTTAAATATACAATTCCTTGTTGTGGCCAAGTTTGTATAAATATGACCTAGTAGTTTCAGTGGGTAAGTTATTTCAGAGACATATATACGTCTCTGGTTATTTGTAAAAGATAACGGACGACGGACGCCAAGTGATGGAATAAGCCCACACTGGCCCTCTGGTCAAGCGAGCTAATAAACTTATGCTCAAACTTGTCTGGAAAAAAAAAAGAAAAGAGATATGGTCAATTTCCTACGATTTTTACAGCGGATGACCTTGAGAGGTCATTTCGGTGTTTTGATGGCGCAGAAATTATGCACACGACCCTTGCGTTTTAAGTACCTATCACTTCGTTTAAATCGTATAAATACACGGACATTATCGAGTGCAAAATAACATTCATTATCGCTTGTTATATATTTATTTCATCAATAAATATTCATGAAAATATTTTTTAAGAACATAGATAAATGATATGAAAATGTTTTGTCGTGAGAAATATATATATATATCAGTAACAAATCTTGAATACCGAAAATTTGTGTTAACGCATGCGGAAGAATATCTCGAGAGATGATCTGATATATATAACTGTTATAGTTACAAATGCTAATATAATATATAACAACAAACCAGATTATACTGATAACAAATGATTATCTATATCACTACAATATAATAATTATAACGGTGAGGTTGAATTCCCTGTCATTTATTCATCATCCACACAGGAACTTGTCTCAGAAAAAAAATATATCTATGTACCTTAACCTAACTTTCAGGTATAGAGAAATGATTTTTTTCGTGAGATAAGTGCCTGTGACCATCCACCAGAACTTGCGATCATCCGATGTTCAGTACTTCAGAATCAGTATTTTGATTTGTCACAGCAGAACCTTTATTCTAAAGTCATTAAATTTTTACTGAAATTCAAAGTGGCATAGGTTTATTATTTTAACGACACTTATAAACATTCATTTCCTAACGTATAGTTACCATCACTTCAATTTTGACAGATTTTGGACAAAATAGAGTCTTTAGCACAGCTCCTTCATTTCCCTCCATCTTGTTACAGTTTTCTCCTTATTATAATCTGTCTTAAATCGCAAGTCGTAAAAGTCATGATAATGCTCAATTTGTTTTGAAATTTTTTTTTATGATAAATGGGATCAGAAATGGACAACCTCAAAGATATTTTAGATGAAATTTAGCAGATTGCGAACAAGTTACCCAAAAACAGTATGACAGAATGAGATGTTGTAGTCGTTGAGAAATACACTGTAATTTTGAAGTGCTTAATGCATAAGATCAAGTTTAAACAAACAACGGAGCATAAAGGTAAACACATGACTAAAACAACATCAGGAAATTAATATGATTGATTGATTGTTGGTGCTTAACGCTACTATCAGCACTCTTTGCTATATTGTGACGAACCAGTTTTATTGGTCGAGGAAGCCGCAGAAAACCATCGACCCTTCACAGGAAAACTGACAATCCTAGTCAATTAAGATTGGAGTCTAACACGCCTGTCGCGAATTCAAAACCTAAGTGTTGACAGGGAAGTGATAACTGTAGATGAACAACTAATGCCACTCTGCCAACGAGGCATCCAGGAAATTAATAGAACCTTTGGTGAAAATGAAAAGTAATTTGCTTAAAGACATCCATTGCAAAGACAATTACATCAAGTTTGCTCCCAATCAATTTTGGAATGCAAACTGACAAATGTTTCAAAGTTAATAATCAGAAGAAAATCTTGTTAACCGACGCAAAATCTGTTTATCTGAACTCTCTTTGTGGTGTAAAGCCAAAATTGTTTGCTTATTAAAAAACTATCAACAAAATGTTAGCAAATGTTAATATGAACTAAAAAATCACGAACGTTTTTGTCTTATAATAATATCAGATTTTTCTTTGGTAATAAAGTATGAATAGTCGCATTGTATTGTCATTTGTTTTGTTTTCCTACTTAATATTAAGTGCTTCAGTAAAAATTAGAAATAATTATACAAAAAAAAAAAATCCAGTAGAATCCAGAATCATACTAATCTAAGTTTTTAGTATTTTAGTAATATCTTGGATTTTTATTTTCTACTAGTAGACATTGGAATTCCGGTTAGTACTGTATTTTAATAAGAATAAATCAAAATTTCAATTTCAATTTCTAGACTGGAAAATATTGGAATTTCAATTTGTTCTAGGATGAATCTGGATTCTACTGAATTCCAATTTTTACTGTACATGATAAAACGATCGAAAGCTAGAAAGAGAAAACCAGAGAATAATGACTTAACTTACCATGTTTATGTAACAGATTTCGCTGAGGTGCTCTCTTCGTTTTCATATAAAGTTTGGCTAAATCAACAAATGTTTGAATTCTTAAATGTCACAGCTATGCATAAATGGACACTGCCAGTTAATTATTGCTAGCAAAAATTATGACACGTTTTACTTAGTGTTGAGTAAATTATAATACGTTAAAAATTACAATATTTCTCCCTCGGTCTTTAGTTTTCTCTGTATGTAGTTTTAGAGACCGTTGTTTTTTTTTGTCATTTTCTAAGGCCACATGCCCGGTGTCGTCTGTTTTTTTTTCACAGGCTTTGAAAAATGGTTTTGCTTTATGTTAGTAACATTGGCATTTTAGGTGCCATTTATTCATAATTCCTTCAACGATGATCATATCATGACTACGTGCATTGGTTTGTATAATCCGGCACCACCTCAAAGGAACTTGGTTACGGATACCTTTTTTGTAATCATTATTTATTCATCATGTCCGTTTACTGAAAAATCCGGAATGGTTTACTGTATATTGATTGAAAACTAAGATGCAAACGTTAATAATCGGTTGAACACAAATAGAAAGGAAATATGAAAATGGGGTTATCAAGTGTTTTAATTTTAGTTATGTTAAATTTCAATTCTTATCTTTCTTTATTTTCAATAGAAATAAGTCGATGTGATATGAGTGCCAATGAGACAACTCTGCATCCAAGTCACAATGTGTAAAAAGTAAAAAATTATAGGTAAAAGTACGGCCTTCAACATGGAGCCTTGGCTCACACCGAACAGCAAGCTATAAAGGGCCCTAAAATGACTAGTGTAAAACAATTCAAACAGGAAAACCAACGTGGTCTAATCTATATAAAAAAACGAGAAACGAGAAACACTTATGAACCACACCAACAAACGACAACCACTGAACAACAGGCTCCTGACTTAGGAAAACAATGAAAACAAGTTAACACGTTATAAATTTCATGCGTCCGAGGCGCTTTTCTGGTTTTCCTTCATCAGGAACGCCCAGAGCCGAATATTTGAAAGCCAAGGATTCATAAGGACCGAAAACGTTGAAGAACTATCAACAAAAAAGGACATGAAAAATCATAGCCAAACCCATCTAAGGCCAACTGTGCCTGAGGGATTTGAAACCTTAGTTTCTGTATAATAACAAATTTTATAAACGGGCAATATTTTAGATATTTTGTTTTAAATCATGTCCGTACCGAAGTACTAGTACAAACAAATGCAGTGGGTTTAAACGTTTTAACAGTCGCAAACATTCATCCTAACCTGAAATAATAATGTAACATTACAACATAGAAAAACACACTATAAAATATCAAATGAAATGGCTTAACTCAAACAAAAGACATATTGACAAAAACAAGTAAAACATACACTGAACGAATGAATTTGTTCTATGACACAATATAAATACAATATTAATAAAAAAAAATAGGGGGAGATGTAAAACAATATCAGAAAGGCAACTATAACCTTGGACAAAATGGCGTTAAATAAAATAACGTAAACAGGTAATTTTAATACATATGATTTTGTTGTAAGGAGTACATGTGAGTACGGAAATATTTTTCATGAAATAAATAAACTTGTTGTTCATAGTACAGAACAGAAGTTAATATTTATCGTCATACTAAATACTTATCAAAGGTGGTACATATAAAAATAGTGAGACGAGATATACCACAAAATAAGTAAACATTGAATAACAAAAATGCGTTAAGTCTAGTAATAATATACCCAATTCAACCAAAAATCGCAATATATTTATCAAGCTGGCCAATCAGTGCATTGTAATTATAATCTATGACAAAATCAATCTGATTGAAATTCAGATCTATGGGATTATATAAGAAGATATATTCATGTGATTGATAGATGTGGAAATGACAAATTAAAGAAAATCAGAAATTCAAAAGCAACTGTATTATCCGAATGCATGTGCAAATATTGTGTAATTTATTTATTTAAATAAATCTATATCAAAATCAACCTTAGTGTTGAGTAAATTATAATACGTTAAAAATTACAATATTTCTCCCTCGGTCTTTAGTTTTCTCTGTTTGTAGTTTTAGAGACCGTTGTTTGTTTTTATTGGTCATTGTCTAAGGCCACATGCCCGGTGTCGTCTGTTTTTTTCACAGGCTTTGAAAAATGGTTTTGCTTTATGTTAGTAACATTGGCATTTTAGGTGCCATTTAT